CCAGGCCCTTCCGCTCCTGACCCCTTCCTACCTGGGCCACAGAGGCTCTCTGTAGATAACCAGATCATAGCAAAAGTATTACAGAAGGACCTTGGTGGCGGCAGAGAACTTGAGGGTTTAGAGTCATAGCAGTGACTCATAAAGTTGCAGATTTCAGTGTACCTTATATTAACATCCTTAGGAGCCTGTGGGGCAGGAGACTCCCCTGGATTTGGGATTCTTGGAAGCATGAGAGGCTATAGAAAGAAGTGTTTCATGGATCTTGATAATGCTAACAGAGTTCATATAGAAGGACTTGGGCCAGTTTGCAGACCAGGACACTCACACTTCTTTTACCTGGGAATCACTGACAAATGACAAAAGAGGGCAGAACTGCCCACAAAGGCAAGCAGAGAAGTAAATGGATAGTTCCAGAAAAGATCAACTCAGAGACAAAAGGAGCTCAGAATGTGTACGATTTTTATGGGTCAATGAAAAAACTCAAATAAGCCAACTTTTCAGGGTCCACCTCAGATGTAGATGACACTTTGGCTCCGTTAAATCGGTTGTAAAAATGGGGGATGGAAACGCTGCCTGTCAAGAAAGAGCTGGCAGTCTTCCTCCCAGACAGAGCCTGCCAGAGGCAGAGGGGGAGGGAAGGAGGAGCCAGCCTTTCCTGCCAGCTGAGCTGTGCCTGAGTCTCCTGGGCAGCGGAGGAACAGAGCTGGGATCTAGCATTGTCTTGCTGTGGCTGCATCCGGCTCCTCCCACGGCTAGAGGAGTTCAGGTGCGCAGGTGGGTGCCTAGACTCGCTCTCTTTGGATGTTTCCTGTGGGTCCAGGCAGACAGTGCTTTCAGGAGGAGCAAGTCCAGCCCTCTGACCACTGCCTCAGGGGCAGCCGGAGAGCTCTGGCCCCACTGCAAGGGGAAGCATGGTTTGAGGCCACCCTCTCTCCCCCCAGCTTTTATGGTCTTAAACACTTACTCACCTTCCAACCATGTGAGGCAATTAAAGGCAATTAGCTCTGAATCAAGGGCAAACCATGCAATGTTTCCTGCCTGCCTGCCCAGGTTGAAGCAGGAGGATCTGCCTGGGAGATGTCTTCTTCTTAAAGGGGACAAAGTGCTTCATGCCACCATGCAGAGAGCTCATCTGATTCCAGCTTTCATGGCTTCCCTTTCTTCCTGGGACAATAAGGTTGTGGCCTTCAGGTGGGTAGTCCCGAGCTCCTGCCCTTACCAGACCCCAACACAGGCGCAGCCTGGAGCACACTGCAGTGGTGCCAAGGAAGAGAGATTACAGCAAGTGGCTATTCAGCCTGGCTGAAGCTTTCCCCTGGTCAGGCTCCACCCGTGTGTGCCATGCGGTAGGAGGACGGAAACACAGACCTGCAGCTGGAGTTTTGCATTCCTAGATCAGGTCTGTGCTTGGTCCGTTGCACTCCAAAAACCTACTTTGCTCTCAGGCTCCTGGTAAACTACAGGTCAGCTGGAAGCCCCGGCAGTATTTACTCAGCCATTGCAAGCATCCCAAGGCGCTGAGAGTGCCCCTCTTTTTGTGTGTTGTTGCTGGGAATTGAACCTGGAGCCTTTATACTGAGCTACATCTCCAGCCTTTTTTTGTTATATATTGTATTTTGAGATGCAGTCTTGCCAAGTTGCCCAAGCTGGACTGGAACTTGGAATTCTCTTGCCTCAATATCCTGGAGTGCTGGGATTACAGTCTTTCCTTACAGTGTCCAGGCCTCCTGAAGATGAGTGGCACCAAGCTTTGAAAACTTGGCTACCACCCGGGAGTGTCCTCCTGTCCCCCTGTCTCTTCCAGTCCCCAGCTGTGTGGCTTTATGGCGTGTGTGTGTGTGTGTGTGTGAGTGTGTGATCAGTGAAGGAGTTACTGAAGAGCTGGAAGAGACAAGAGAAAACCCTGCTAACCTGTCGATGTCGCCATCCCAACCCTCAGGAAAATGTTTCTCATTTTTTTCCCTTTTCTGAACTAACCTTTTATCTAGAGCTTGGGGTTTGAGACTGTCTAGAGATGACTTTTATCTTCAGAACAGGACGTAAACTGTAATGAATGCAGTCTCATTCCTTTTCTACCGTAGATTCATTTCTCTTTTCCTCCTGGATAAAAGCAAACGTTTCCTGATGACCTAGTATGTGCCAAGGACAGTGTTATCAGAGCCCATGGGTTCGTATGCATCAACTCTAGAGAGCTTCACAAAAGCTTACTAAATCTGTGTTATGGGGCCGTTTTACAAACAAGCAAACTGAGGGGTAGGGAGGTTTGGGGTTACCTGAGGTCACAGAGTTAGCTAGAGGCAGGACAGGTACTTAGCCCCAGACCTGATTTACAGATCAAGTACCTCTGAAGAATACTCCATCTGCTGTGCTGCCAAATAATCCCCAAATGAAACACTCACCAGGCTGCCCCTCTAGGATCTGCCAGCACACTGAATGCCTATGTTAACTAAGCACATACTACATACCACGCACTGTAGGTAGATCTTGGGAATCCTATGGTGTACAAGACGGAACTTTTCAAAACACGTTCTCCCAGACTGACTCATTAAAGTGTGTCCTTTGATTGTTCATACCAGCATGTGTTTGCATTTCCCCATCTTCTGTTTCTACAAACCTCCCTTAACTTTCTATTGATCTCAGCCTAACGAATTTGTTTCCTATTTTTCCTAAAGGAGCACATGTTACTTTTACTTTTAATTTTTAATTTTTTTTCATTGAGTTTATCGGTACTTTTCAGGTATACAGTTCAGTAACATTCATCATTGGGATCTTGTACCTTTGCATGACAGGTCTTGGTTCTCATTTTTTCCCCATACCCTGCTCTCCATTTACTCACTCCACCCTTCCCTATTTACAAAGACTTGGTTTCTGTCTTTGCCTTTTCTCATACTTTTTCTTTTCCCTTATTACCTTTCCCTTACTCTTCCCACTTCCCAAAAACTTTAGCCCTTTTCTCCCTATTTCACTTCAGTTATACAATTTGGATCTTATTTACACTTTTAGTTTTTCACACCAGAGAAACTATTCGGTATTTACAAATGCATGTCCTATTTATTTCACTTAAGAGTATGCCTCAATACACATCCATTTTCTTATGAATGACTCTAGTTTCTCATTCTTTATGGCTGAGTAATATTCCATTTTTACTGTTTAAAATTTTTATTTTTCAAATGGAGAATACATTCTCATATCTCAAAACTCCCACACCCCCCATCTCTTCCAAGTGTGTAGAGTAAACCTTCTTCTCCTCTCCTGTTCCTAGCCACTCAGCCCTTCTCAGAGGCAAGGACTCCTGAGTAGGTACTGTTTCTCTTTCTTCCTCCCTTTGTTTATGAGCACAGAGGGTCAGACACAATCCACGAAGTGTTCTCTACTTGTATTTTTCTCTATTGATCTATCTCAAAGATTATGTCAAATCAGTAAATATAGTTACCTCCTTTCCAAAACCTGTGCACTTCTGTTGGTGACTGTCTAATATGGTCCCAGGGTTTTGCTGTTAGAAACAATTCTACAGGGAGACTCTTAGCTGTGTTATCAATGTTTGCATGAACAGCTGCCTCTGAAGGAAAGTTCCTGTAGTGGAAATGCTAGGAATGGTGAAGGATGTGTGTGTTTGCTATGTAGAAACTCTTCTCATTTCTCAAGCATTGCAAAAAGAAGCCCAGATATCCGTCATTAAGCTCCACTAGTTACCAGTCAGCCTTGCTTATGGTGTTTCTCATGTTCATATCCCCCTCCACCACAGTTTATTTCGAATCAACCCTAGATGCAATGTTACTCCAGTAGTAAATATTTTGGCACTATTCCTGAAAAGTGAAAATTTAAGATAAAAAGAAACAAATATATGCATAATTTCATTATCATGCCTAAAATGATCATTTATTACACCATCAAATATCCTGTCAAAGTTACATTTTCCCAACTTGTTTCTTAAAAATTTGTTTTTAGTAGTTGTTCTTTGATGAGAGTCGAAGAAAGATCCATATGTTGCAGTTACTTCTTCTACTTCTTTTTGTGATCTACTTCTTTTTTTTTTGCTTCCCTCTATCTCTCCTCTTTTTCTTTTTGCAGTGTTGTAGAAACTGGGAGTTTATTTCCAGACACTTGACTTTGCTGATTAAATCCCCACAGAGTCATGTAAAATATTCCCAAGGTTAAAAGGGAAACACACATCAGAACTGCAGGATTTTTGGTAATAAAGCACAACATACCAGAACCCATATGATACAGGCAATGTAATTATTAGAAGGAAAACAGTAACACTAAATAACTCTACTAATAAAAAGTAAAAGTAAATGAATTGAACACACAACTCTGAACAAAAGGAAGACAAAAGAAACCAGAAAGGGCTAAGTACACCATGAATATTTCATCATTTTGTAACCCTGTTTCTAAAACTGAAATTTAAAGCTCTCTATAGAGGGAGGGGATCATCCTGCAATTTGCATCCAGACAGACAACAAATTTGGAAAGTGTGGGTATGGATAGTCTGATGCACATGGAGCTGAGTCCCGAGGTCCTGGCCTGCCCTGGCCAGGATTCAGGAGTGGGGACCCTTCCATCCTGTCCTCAGGGACTAGGAGGTGGTTTGGGGGAGGAGGCGAATCTCCACATCAATTCTGGTTTTAGACTCACTTGTTTGTAGCAAAGCTCACCCTTGGGGTTCCCTGAGTATCTGATGGGTGTGGCATTTCTGACCCTGTAAGGCCCTCGCATGGCTTTGTCCTGGGGGATCCTGGTGCAGATCTCAGCTGCTATGTGGCCACTTCGCTGCTTAGAACAAATCTCTTTGAGTGCGATTTCCTCACCCTGAAACGGGGTGATAATCTTACCTCACAGGGTAAGGCTCCCATGAGACCACTTTCTAGGACCAGACACGGGGTAGTAGCCAGAAGCAGGACAACTCCCCTGCAGGGGCTTTACCCTGAGCACCCTCAAGGGTTCCAAATGACACGCAAGCATGCTCCCAGAATTCCTGCAATGCCCGTGTCTGCGAGCGCAGCTTCCCTCTCGCGCACGTGGACCTGATCAGGAAGTCCTAGCCCAGCTGGGGCCAGGACAGCGCCTAGAGCCCCTACTCGAGCCGCTGTGCCCCGGGGCCCCGCTGGACCCAAGGAAGGCACGTTCAGGTCCTGCCCCGGGCAGGGGAGTTGTCCACCCGACCCCTCGCTGGGGACAGGGCAATCCCCAGTCCCCTCCCCGCTGTAGTCAGAGCTTTTATCCACGCGTTTCTTCAGCCGGGTGCCTGTGGTGACTGAGAAGCATAAGGGTAAGGAGACTTCTTCCGCCCGCAGCCCCAAGGGAGCCCCAAACCCACGCGGGGGCGACGCGCTCGGGGACCTTGGTGCGCTAGGCCCGAGGGGCGTGGGGTCTCATGCCCCGCCCCGCCGCGTGTCCTTATTTGGTCAAACGACGCGCGGGACTGGGGCGGCGCAGTCCCATTCTGCGCCCGCCAGCGCTGCCGCCAGCCGCGTTCCGGAGCCGTCCGTGAGTACCTGTACCGGAGGGGACAGAGAGGCCGGAGAGTATGGGAGGGGACCAAGGGGCCCCAAACCCAGCAGAAGGGAGGGACCCGGGAGAGGGGACTGGACCAGGCTGGGCCAAAACCCCAGAGGGAGAGCCCAGGAAGTGAACCGAACCGGGAATGGCACCGGAGCCCCAGAAACCCACCCATCCCAAGAAGGGGTCAGCAGTGGGTCTCCGCCAGGGTGCGGGAGGAGCCCAGCCACCCTTTGGGCGAGCCTGGTAGACGCCTGGGTCTGAGACACCCCCCGCCCCGCGCTCCCGGGTTGGGGAGGCTGCTGGGGAGAGGACCCAGGAGCCCTGAGCCCAGGCTGGACTGAGGAAGGTACTGTCCTGGCAGAAGGGCTTCAAGCAGTTGCTGGCTCCCCTTCAGTAAGAAAAATGGAGTTTTAAGTGACCCGGAGCCCTGACTATTGCAGGAATTGAAAACCACGAATCAGGTGAAAAGCTCTGGTTTAGTTTAGAGGAAAGAGTCTGAGTTTTAGGTTGCATTCAGATGTATGATATCTTAGCATGGCTTAAACTGTGAAAAGAAAATGTTGACTGTTGTTTCTGATTTTAAATGAAGAATCAGTCACTTTTCCTTTCTGATCCCCAGTACAGTCCTTTGGAGCTGGTCTGTTTCCTTGTCTCTGCGGGCAGTTTATGGCAGGCCGTCTTGCATGAGTTTGGGGAAGTAATGATTCACAATTTGGGCATATGGTCAGGAGAGTTATCTTGAAAATGCTACTCTAAGAACGTCTCCCGCTTTCAGCAGTGCTTCTGCTTAGGTGTGTTTTACAACCACCTATTAGACAGAAGTGGTTTTCAAGTGTCTTGAAGGTGTTTTGGACCCAAAGACATTTGCAAGAAGCCTTTGACACACAGAAATGCCTAGCCAACAGCTAATCATCCATGCAACCAAACACAAAGAAAAGTATCTCACTCTGTGCATTTGTAGGAAAGAAATTCTCAAGTTTTCAGGTTTAGCTCACTGCACATTTTTAAGACCATATGTGAATAGGTAGAATTGGGTTTCCATGGTGCTTGGAATCCTTCCATGTTCTCAGATGTGCTTATGTGACAGCTTGATGACAAGACCTGGCTCTGGGCTCTGCCACCAGCACTGCCCAGGCCTGATGTCTGCCTCATTCAGCTCAGACTCACAGATGCACCATAAGCAAGGTGGCAGGGACCAGACTAGGCTGCCTAAAGTCCCCTCTGAGTCCCTCGACCTGCCTGGTCTTGGTGCCTCAATTATTTGGTCCCACCCCAGCTGCGGTGCCTTGTTTGGTCATGACCCAAAGGTTCTGGGAAATTTAGCACTCTGTGGGGCATGTGTCTTGGTGCCTCAGTTTCCTCAGTGGCCTACAGCTTCAGTGATCCTGCCTCTCTGGCAGGCCTGTTTAAAGCCTGCACATCATAGAAGCATATTTGACAGCCTTGCTTTTACAGATAAAGAAACTGAGGCACGAAGAGACCAGAGTAGCTTGCTCAAGGTTCCTGGTGATTGGCACCCCTGAGTGCTGCCCCAGATGGCCCACAGATAGCCTGGGTGCTATACACGGAGCTACCTGGGACCACAGTTTCCTTGGGGCCTGAGAGGCCTGTCAAGTGTGACCCAGCTGTAAAAAACACATCTCTCATGGAGGGCTATCTAAACTGCCAGCAGAAGTGCCCAGAAGAACACAGGAGAAACACAGTCTGGGCACCAAGTGGCCTGCTTTCTACCCCTGTCCTGCCCAAGGCCTGCTCCGTCTCAAACTAGCAAGGGGCCTGTGTCACTCAAATGTGCATTGTCCTGCATGTTGGGAGCTTGGTGCTTGGTGTGGCAGCACTGAGAACTTTAAGAGGTGAGGCCTGGAAGGAAGTTCTTAGGTCAGCTGGGGATGCTGCCCTCAGAAGGGATCTAGGGACTCGAGTCCCTCTCAATGCTTCTTATTTACTAGTGTTGACATCACCCTACACTGTTCCTCCCATCCTTCATGTGGTCCAGTACCGTGTTCTGGGATCTCCAGAACAGGAGCTTAATTAACCTCTCTGTGAAGTTAACCTGCCTCGAGTGTCTTGTAGTCTCAGCTGCAATGAGGTACAAAGTTCCTATGGTCTGAGAGAACAGAAACATTATCCATTAGATACATCTGTGTAGGTTTATTGTGAGAATTTCACCAAGCCGCATTTACCAGGTGCTCACTCAGGTGCCATAAAGCTGAGAGGCTACTTCCTCCAGAGACCATCTTGAACAGAATCTGTGTGCTTCCTCCAGCCATGGGGAACTGGCCTTCCAGGAGACGGGGCCAGAGTGTTGACTCTGGGGTGAGTCCAGGAAATTATTTCCTTAGCACCCTGAGTTGTGGATTTCAAGTTCAGTTCCTGGGATGAGTCAACCTGACCAGGCTTTGAGGTGCCCAGATGGTCAGCAAAACAGTCTATGACGTGTCCCTGCAGAGTTCTTAGAGGGGTTGGCATCTTACTGGGCATGCCCTCTGCCCTGCAAGATACCTGTGTCCTTTCCCCCATCAGCTGAATAGAACAGAAATGCTGAGTAGCAAGGACTCCTTCCCTCCCAGTACTGGAGCTGAGGCTTGGTCCTTGCTGGCCTTTGGGCTGGGATCTAGAGCATTAGCTCTTCTTGGGCATGCTGCCCCCCAGACGAAACCTTGCTGACTGTCCTGGCCTCCAGCCTTCCAGTGTTTTCCATGCACAGTGGGCTTGTGTGGCAATAAACCTGGCACAAGTTGAAAATAGTGTGAGTTGAAATGCAAGCACTGCTTAGATCCTGCCCCTGCCTCCTCCAGCCATGCACTGCAGTCTTAAGTCAGGGTCTCCTGGAAGTGCCATTTGTAGGTGAAAAGACATTTTCTCCAATTTATAACTTTAAAACAGTGTACAGAAACAGTCTTTAGCTTCCTGGTCCCTATGTGAGAACTCGAATGAGACGAGTGAGGAATACTGCACTGCACGGTGTGCATCAGACTCTAATCTGATTCTCTGGCCATGACTTCTAAGAACTGCCACACTAGATATAAGGCTCTTACAACTCAGGAGCTCTGTTCCTGTTACTATCTTGTGCAACACCTTTTACAAATTTGATTCTCCAAAAGTGCTTTGAAAAATGGGATAAATCATTGCCCCCAAACAGAGAGAAAATATTGTAAGGTGAAAATGCACTGCATGCACCTCCCCTACTGAGCACTGAGCACCCTAGCTCAACAATGCAGCACCCTGAGGGCTTCAGTAGTATTCCCTGGTTAAGTGTTGGCTGCTCTGGGCACACTGTGCTTGCTGAGCCACATGGCATCTCGCAACAGGATCGTGTGTGGGGGCTGCGTGAGGCCCTGGGTTCCATGACCAATAGCCCAAGCAAAAAGATCACACCGCTCAGTACCAGCCTCTGAATCGGGCCATCGAGTGTGGTCACACCGATCCTTCACCTCTATGATTCATAGCTGTACTGCCCTGATTTCGACAGGGCTCCTAGCACTGTGGCTAAGGAAGAGAAGTGGCTGCCCTCTTTAGAGAGGAATACCATTCAAACCCAGGAGTGTCCTTGGAACCCCAAATACGGAGATTGTGGGCCCAAAAGAGAGCAGAGCTGTGTTTGCTTGGTACGGTTGGAGCCCACAGAAGATGGCCTGTGAGGGGAAGCAGCATGTAAGCCTGCCTCCCCGGGGTGCACCGCCCCTCTCAAGCACCGCATGGGGCCAGTTGTTCAGGGACACTGGGGATGTCGCAGGGAAAGGCCAGCCTGGGCCACCACAAACAGAAGTCAGGCAGATGGAGTGTGCCTGTGGAGGTGGAGAGGACCCTTGAGTGAGGAAAGGTGGTGCTGGCTGGCAGCAACAGGAAGTCGCTCACATAGCAGGACTATGGCACTGCCACCGTGTCCCCATCCCCGGGCCAAAGTTATCTATGGACCCAGGGCAGCTTGCTGTCCTGGCCTGCACAACCAAGTAGTCTCTGGCATGTTTTGACACTAAAGGGCAAGGTAGGGCCTTACACTGACCTCAGGTCTTTGGAGCTAGAGGCAGGCTGGAGCTCTTTCAGAAAGTGGGTCTGACACAGACAGGGTGCTGCGGACAGGGTGCACAGCATGGTCTTGAGTGGACCGAAAAGTTCCAAGCACATCAGAAAACAAGCATTCTTGTGTTCATGGAATTCAGATCAGGAATTTGACATTTATTGTTTTTCTGTGTCTTTCATTATATAGTACTCAGAGGATAACTCTGAAGACAGTAGTTTTCCTTATGACAGTATTGTCTACCATAAAGCATATCTTAAAACTTCGGTAGACTAGCCAAAACAGTTTTCATGTCTTGTTGTTGTTATTGTTGTTGTTTTGCTTGTTGTTTTGTTTGTTTGCTTGCTTTGTTTTGTTTTGTTTGAGACAGTGTTTCACTGTGTAGCCCAGGCTAGCTTTAAACTCACAGCGATCCTCCAGCCTTAGTGTCCCAAGTGCTGGAATTACAGGCGTGTGCCACCATGCCTAGCTACAAGATGGTTTTTAATTTTTGAAAGCTGCCAATGTATGTGGCACTTTACACCACACCCTTGCCCTTGCCCCTGCCCACCAGGGCATCCAACAAAGTCTCCTGAAGAATCTCATAATGAGCACATAGTGGTCAGATGTTTGATCTTATACTTTAAAATCTAAAATCCTTTGCAACCCAATAATCTAGAAGGTGATTCGGCATGGACTCTGGATACGTTTTGTTTTTAATCTTTCGTTTTAGTGCTGGAGATCAAACCCAGAGCCTCACACGTGCTAAGCAAGCGCTGTTCTGCGAGCCATAGCGCAGCCCTCACACTGTTCTATTTTTAAACATAGCAACACCCTCTCTGCCAATGCCCTCTCTGTTTCCCTGGAATTTCTAGTTAACCAGAGCAGTGCTGGGGTGAGCAACTTTGCTACACCCACCCAGGGCAATGATGATTCCCAGCTTCTGCCTGCTCGCTCCGGGGTGTGGGGTCCTGGACTTCAGGTTCCCGTGGAGAATCTGCTTACAGACACAGTGTCGGGGATCTGAAGCACCTCCCTCCCCGGGCTTGCTGCTTCCCGCCAGGCCACATCCTGACTGCATAGCTGTGTGTTCTTGCAGGGTCAGAGTCCGGATCAGCAGGAAGAGTTCTTCCCGAGGCCACTTATTGAAAAGAGAAGCGAGGGAGGGTGGAAAGGAAGAGGGTGCCAGGGTCCCTGACTTCAGAAGTTTCGATGGCATCCAATGCTGGACCCCATTGGCTTTCCAGTGGCTAATGCTGAGTGAGCTATGTGCATGGAATGGCCTGTGCTTTCCTTCTTGATTTTGATCAGTTTGCACTTTGGGATGTTTGTATCCCTCACCTGTCTATTCATTTCTTCATTCTTTCAGCAAGCAGTCAGGGAGTGCCTGGCATGTGTCGCCTGCTAGCCAGGGCTTGGTCACATGGACAGCCCACCTGCCCAGTGCTGTGGGCTGGAGGGATGCAGCCATCTGTGTGGCATGTGGCGGTGAAATGTTCCGTACCTATGATCCAAAAAAGCCCACTCAGGATGGTCCCACTCTGCTGTCCTCGCTGAAGGTACCAGTGACTTCCATCAGCACAGGGGTCCCCACAGAGTCCCTGGCCAGCCTGGCACTGCCCAGGACTAGCAACAGAGGCTGTATCCGCAGGTGCTCAGAGAGGGCTCATTGTGTCCCCAGGTTTCTCTTCAGGAAATGGCTGTATTAGGGGTGTCAAGAAAGCAGTGCTAATACCGAGAAACCCTTCGAGGTGTGGAAGGGGAGGATAACACTGCTTTGGGGTCAGGTTAAAGTGGTAGTATGTCGAATAAATGGAGAATTAGAAAGAATTTGAAGCCCGTAGGGAGGTGCCTGGCCTGCTCCTGCTTTTGAAGGACGGGCCTGAAACTCCTTGGGCCAGCAGGACAAGAAGAGGCAGCCTGACACACCAACCCTGCTTCATGCTCAGACATCTTCATTTATTTATTTATTTTTGTTTGTTTGTTTGTTTATTTGTTTTTTGAGACAGGGTCTCTTTATGTAGCCCAGACTGGCCTTGAATTCGAGGTAATCATCCTGCCTCAACCTCCTGAGTGGTGAGATTACAGGCGTGCACCACCACTCCTGGTGTTTTTAAAATTATTTTTAGTATAGTGGAGCCCTGGGTATCATTGCTCCTTTGCTCTCTGAAGGAAGCCAGTCTAGTGTGAGACCTCGAGGGAGGTCAGAGTCCTTGATGCTGGCCAACACCAACCCTACCTTGCCCATCCACCCAGGGCAGCTAGCTTGGTCCCTTCTCGAGCCCCTACCCTCTTCTCTGGCTTTACCAAGCACACAAGGCACAGAGCCAATGGGGGATGACATCAGAAGATGACTGAACCCTGGGCAGGGCTGAGGACTCCAGGATGCTGTCATTTGGGTTGGGTCCAGTTGATGGTCACGTTGGGGTCGGGCATCTCCCCACATGCTCTTGCCTAATCCTCTGAATTCCTGTGTGCTAGAGAAGGCAGGGAGCACCTCCGGCCTGCAGGAGAATGGCTACAGAGCCAAGATGGGGAGGTAGATCTTACACCACTAGGCTAAGAAATCCCAGGGAGCCAAGGTGTCCACTTGTGTCTGAGGAAATGGCATAGAAGTGACTCCACCAACACCACCTTGGTTTTTAGGAGTCTGCCCCCCCGGTTGTGTCTCCCCCAGTCTTAACAGCACAGCCTGGCAGGAGATCTCCTGTCTCAGGGACTGTCTCTGCCTGCCCCGACATCACTTTGGCTGCTGCTCTCACCACCCTGGCCTGCTGGGCCATCCGGCCTCCTGAAATTGCCTGTTTCTCTTTGCTTCAGCATAGTTAGCTGTGCCTGGTGGCCTGTAGGATCTACTGTGTGTGACTCCTGTGCCCGCTTGACCCCTGTCCCTGTGGGGAGTGACCTGCCTCCTGAAAATGCCTGTTTCTCTTTGCTGCAGCATAGCTAGCTGTGTCTGGTGGCCTGTAGGGTCTACTGTGTGTGACGCCCATGCCCACTTGACCCCTGTCCCTGTGGGGAGCGACCTGTGTCCCCCTGGTCTTTGTGTCCCAGCACCTTGCCTGACATTGACACACCCCTTCAGCTCCACAGATGTCCTCTAGTGAATAAACGAATGAATGAATGGTACGTCATAGGATAGACAAGTGCAAAGTTAGAGGGAACATTTCGTGTATTTTTCCCATTAAAAGAAGGCTTAAAATTCCTTGTGTAACTTTAAATATTCAGTTTTTTAAAAAGGAATATCCTGGGGATGGAGTGTAGCCCTGTAGTAGAGTCCAAGCCTCACATGTGGAAGGCCTGGGTTCCATCCCTGACACCAAAAATAAAAAGAACATTCAATTTGGTAATTATAGGGGGCATGGGTTTAAGCCCTCTGTGTAGAGAGGCAACTCTGAGTTCTAGAGTTAGCTGCGGATGAGTTTTCCTGCTTTTGGTTTGTGTTCCATAGAATCCTCTGGAAATCCTCAGTCAGCCTTGCTAGGTGATGCTGTTGCCATGTTCCCAGCTATTGGTGGTCACTCATTGTCCACCCTGCCCTGCTGATCGACAGAGCAGGAGTGGCCTCTTAGAAGAGACAGGAGCCTGTCAGAGAGGGCCCCACATGGTCAGGAGCACTTCTCCAGCCGGGCAGTGCCACAGCCCTGCCAGGCCCTCTGTGGAGGTCACAGTGGCTACAGTGTTCCTTCGGGGAGTTGGGGTCACTGTCACCCCAGGACAGCCTCATAGTCTCAGGCCAGGCTTGTCCCCAGAGGTGACGCCTCTAGATGATGCTCTGTGCTGGCCTGTGGAATCCCAGGAGGTGGAGCGCAGACCGCAACCGGCTCCTGTGAGCACCAAGCTCTGGTGCCGAGGGGAGCAGGCGCTGTGTGGTCCTGACTTAGACCTGGGCTCCACAGAGGCATTGCACAGGCCGCGTGTGGCCTCGTATCCCCATTGGCTGGCACACGAAAGGAGCCACCTTTCCATGTAGATCAGGAAGACCTTTTTCAAAACTGGGCAGCTGTGGGGAGAATGCAGGCGATTCCTTTTGTTCCCATTCCTGGGCTCCACCTTTTCCACCATAAGCCATACGCAAGGTAGTGGTTATAGTTAATCTCATGAGTTACTTCCAGCTTGTAAAGTTCCACGATTTATGTTTCGTTCTCTTTCTGTTCATCCCAAACCACTTGTGTTCTGTTTGTGCAGACAGAACAGGCAGTAAGCTTCTAACTCCTTACCTAAATGGCAGCCTTTATTGGAAAGACACACAGGTTGGAAAGACAGCTCTCAGTTGGGATAAAACAAGTTACAGGCACCTTCTGGGCCAGGTAATGGAAGGGTTACAGGAAAGCGTGGATCTTCTGCCAGAGCAGCTGCTGCTATGCTGGCCCCCAGCACAGGGTCCATGCACACTGGGTCTCAGAACAATAATTCAAATGCTCCCGGGCCTCACTTGAGATATTATCTCAAGAATGTCCAGATGATGTTTTCTTTAACTCCAGGAAGAGCGATTTAGAAGGAGGGATCTCGACACACTGTCCAGCTGTGTGCTTAATGCTCTTGGAAGAAAATTATTCTATAAACACAGAGCCAACCCAGCCTGGATGCTTGGAAGACATTCACATCTCTGCTTATAGTTGTCAGGACCTTGGATACACAGAGTATAAAATTAATAAACATGATCAAATGTACTGTAATCATAAGCCAAGGCAGGAATATTTCATTTGCATCTGAGAGTCTAATTCTGGGATTTCACCCTCAATGTTTTGTGGTGACTGGAAATTTAATTGAATTTGCAAAATTGTGGTGCAAGTTACGGAGCCAACCAGTGTGCCTGCTTAACAGCTGCTGAAACTCCTAACTTTTAGAAAATTATTATTGCCACTTAGGAAAACATTGCAAAAGAAAATCAACTGTTTCCAGTGTCCTGAGACATTTTTCCAACCCTAGTGGACTTGTCACATTGGATAGTTCTTCATAGGGAGGAGGCGGGGACCCTGTGTCCTCCTCCCTGATGGTGTGGCTTCTGTCCTGGAGAAGCCTTCCTGTCCCTTTTTGCAGATCCAGGAGTGGCCTGGGCTGCACTGACCATAACCACTGCATTCCCAAGCCAGTAATCTTCCATGTTTGTGAAAGTGAGTTATTCTCATCCTCTTGCTCCCTGGCTACCTGGGCAGGTGAAGGATAATGATCTTTTCATCTGGGGGAAGTGACTCTGCCCAGGGCTCTGGGCAGCGTCCCTGTGTGAGGGCAGGTGGCATTGCCCCACACACGGTTTTATCAAGGTTAATGCTTCCTTGGTGTCCAAGAGCAGATTTCCCACGTCAGATTCCCCACTTTGCCCTGTGCCTTCTTCCCATCCCCATTCATGAATCATAAAGGAGCTCATGGAAAATCTTTTTATAGACATGGATATATTGTTTCTATGCTGGTTTTCTATTTTGGGGTAGAGAGAAAGGAAAGAGCAGAACGGCGCCGCACCTTATAAGCCACACACAGCCAGGTAGAAGAGAGGCTCTCACGCTGGCTTTTACTTGATCACCCTTTCTGAGGAGCCAGCCACAACTGGTACTGTGGGAGAAGGGGAAGGCACTGACCTCCAAAGTGCCCTCTGCCAATGGGGGGTGGGAAGGTGCCACTGAAAATCAGGAGCTCCAGGGACTCCCCAGGAAGGACCCTGTTGGAGACAGAGGACACACTTCGCCTGTGCAGCTCACTGCACTGAGCCCTGGGCTTCCTCTTCTCCACAGGTTGCTGAGAAGCCAGTGTCACTATGACGGAGCGCTTTGACTGCCACCATTGCAATGAGTCTCTCTATGGCAAGAAGTACGTCCTGCAGGAGGAGAACCCACACTGCGTGGCCTGCTTTGAGGAGCTCTACGCTAACACCTGTGAGGAGTGTGGCAAGCTGATTGGCTGCGACTGCAAGGTACCCACCAGCAGCCCGTTCCCTCCCTTGGCCCCTCACCAGATGCCCTGAAACCGGGGGGCTTGTATCACCCACTGCCCTGTCCACAAGCCCCATCTGCCTGCCTCCCCTGAGGCTCCCCACCAGCCCAGCACTTCTCTTAGTCCTAAGTGTGCTCCTAGTCCTAAGTCTTAAGTGTGCCTTTCCTTCTTATCTACCCCCCCATCACCCCGTCCCAGGGCCGTGCTGTTCTGCCTCTGTTTGCCTCCTGGTGACGAATGGGGAGCAGGTGCCGTTTGGTAAACACTGGTGAATGGCTGTATACAGGAGAGGCCTGGGTGGTTCCGAGATATGGACACTAAGCCCAGAGTCCTAGGGAATGAATGGGCTCTTTTCTTCCTTAGGGAGGGGCCAGGGTGTGATTCTTTCATAATCGGAAAGGGCAGGCTCTTGAGGAATTTGCATCTTCCTTGGCATGGCATGGTCGACAGGATCACTGCTGGTTCCTGCTCCTAGCCCAGTGGTTGCAGGTGGAACCCCAGCCATGATTCTCAGCTCATCCTTAGTCCAGCCAAGGCCAGGGAGGATGCCCTGGGTCTGTGATGGTTCAGATCTGGAAGTTTCCCAAGTCTTCCCATGTTCAGGGGCCAGGCTTCTGGAAGGTGATTAGACCATGGCCAAACTGTAGCTGACTTGCTGTTAGGAGGTAGGGCCTGGTGGGAAGAGGCAGTCACTGGAACGTTCATCTCCCTCCCTAGTCCTCCCTTTCATCTGATTTCTGGCTTCCATGCTGTGAGCAACTCTCCTCCACCTGGGCCCTTCTTCTGTGACTTCTGCCTTGACGCCAACTCGCCATGGGCATAACCTCTAAAAGCCATGAGCAAGCATAAATCTCTCCTCCTTCAAGTTGTGTTGGGTATTGTGAGTTGGTGATGAGAAAGTGACTGAGACAGGATTCTGTGTTAGTTAGCCTTCCATTATTATGACAAAACACCTGATGTATACAACTTATAGGAAGGAAAGGTTTGCTTTGGCTCATTGTTTCAGGGCTTCAGTCCATTGTCAATTGGCTATGATGCTTTTGGGCCTGGATGAGCCACAGGATCATGGTAGTGCCCCCATACAGACTGATAGGAAGAGGCTGGGGTTCCCTCTTCCCCTTAGAGGGCACATACTCCCAGCTACTTCCTCCTGTGGGTCCCACCTCTTAAAGGATCCACTCCACCCCCACCCTCAGCACTCAAGCCTTTTGGGGACTTTTCAGAGCAAACCATAGCCAAGTTCCTCCAGGGCTCTGAGATATCTGGACCTCGTTACCTTCAAGCCACTGCAAAATATACGGGACAGACAATTCAAGTGACTCCTGCCTCAGAGTCACAGAATGGTTATGGAATGGAGCAGCTATGGGGGTCTCTCAAAGAGACTCCAAGGTGACGAACAGCATTTCCTGTCTCTTCTATGCTCGCATTCTTTTCTTTCCTGTGGGATGTTGCCAGCCACCTCTGTGGTTATAAATATCAGCACATCCCTGCTCATAGCTGACTCGGGCTGTGTCTGCAGTCAGATTAGCAGTACGTCCGGTGTGTGTGCTCCTTACTGGTCTACTTTCTACCGTGTCCTTCCTGGGAAAGGCAAAAATTAGGGACAATCGAGGGATAGTTTCCCTCTGGGGCAGTCAGTGGCCTTTGCCCTGTGCAGAAGTGAGGGGTGTGCGACCCGGGCTGCTGGAAACAAAACTGTGGCTGTAGTTTTTGACTTCCAAACAGGAGTGGCACGCCGAGCATTGGGAAGGAGAACTCCACAATCTTGAGCACAGTTGTTAAATGTCCAGAGGTCTGGCTCCTGTGGGGACAGATTGTTGTTTACCTGGTCTAAATCTGAGTGTCTTCCACTGCCAGTTCTGCCTGGAGTGCATCTTGCAGCACCTGCCGACTGTTCTCAGTCTCGACATTCATCAGCTTTCTATCACTGTCACAAAACGCCTGGATGATTGACTTATAAAGAGGAAAGGTCATTTTGGCTGATAGTTTTTTGTCCATGGCTGGAACAGCTTGTTGCCATTAGGCTTGTAGCAAGACAGCACACTGTGGTGGGATCCCTCGGCAAAGCAAAACTGCTCACATCCTGAGCAGGAGAGGAAGGGGCCCCATGGACCTCCCACTAGGCCACGCCACCCTGGGGACAAGCCTTTGACCTCTGGGCCTGGGAGGACATCCCAGAGCCAGACTATCACGGTCTCTTTCTGTTTATTCAATGGTCCAGGCACCGAGCCCACAAGCTGCCTTGTGTCTCCCTTACTGTGTGAACCTGAGTGGCTCCCTGATGCATCTGTGCCCAGCATGTGCCGGCTGGGATGTGGATTTAAAGTCCTCACCCTGCAAACTGTAGCTGGATGCTGTGCCCCTAACTTCACACTGTCCTTACTTCTTCTTTCTGTAAAGCGTTCCCCACACACACACCCCTCCAAAAGCCTCACCCTCTCTATTATTTTTCATTATGGGAAGAGCAGTAAAAATGTCCAGTTGGAGGATGAATCACTGGGCAGAGAAAAGCATCATTATTTTATAAAAGTGTTACCTGAAAAAGAAATACTTCAACTTGTGAGAGGTTCAGATATCATCCCCACAAACAGCTGCCATTTAGAGGTGGACTTTGGATATTTGAACCAGATCATCCTGAACAGTGGGAGAAGTAAAAACAAAACACAAATCTTTTATCCTTTTTCCAGTGTGCTTTAGTGGAAAGACCCCAAAAGCGGTCATCCCTCTGGAGATATTTTATGAACAAATAAATAAGAGTCTACCAAGTGGGGCCAAAATCCACAAGGATGCTGCAAAAGTTAGGAATTAATCATGTTGAACTTTTCAACCCAGATTAACTTCAAGATATGTGGGGTTTGCCATGTGATTTTTCTACATTTTGGAACAGGAAGAGATGTTGGGTTAAAGTTAGACCTTGCCATTTGGGGGCTTGAGAATATCTGTGGTGGTTTTCTTGACTTTCAAACACAATTATGCAGCTGACCTTTTCGAGGAAGCAGTGACAGACAAAACGTTCCTGTTATTTCAGGAAGTAAGGCCAAAAATCCAGCCGGCGTGTGTTTGAGTGAAGAGCTGAGCCGGCGGGTCTGATGGCCACTGAGGCCATCAGCTCAGCTCTCCCTCTAAAGTACCCGTTCATGTGGATAATTTCAAAATCCTGGAAAACTTAGGAGAATAAGGCTAATTTTTAGGGTATCTACTGACTTTTGCATGAGACAGGTGAGTTGAGAGCCTGTTCCCCCCCTAGTGAGAATCTGTACATTTGCATACTGTTTCTGTGTAGCATCTCCACTACTGTCCTTATTTCTGTAAGTTGCTCTACAGAAAGAGATGCTGTGACCACAAGGCAGAGGCACTGGTTGGGGTGGCCAGTGTTAGAGCTGAGAAGAGGCCGTGAGAGTGCAGTCTTTCAGTCCCCTGACGTTACTTCCATCCTGAAACTTTCTTTGGATGCATGTTGATACTAGCAAAATATTTTTGGAGACTGATTACAGATTTTCTTTGGATCCACTTAAATTCTGGGCTTCAAAAATTCAAGAAACTAAAGAAAAGATAGGCTGCGGACCACTGGAGGAGTGTGCCTTTAACAAATAAGTGATTTCCGCAAACCCCGGGCCATATGCCTAGCTCAGAATTTGAACTTTCCTTACCCACAAACCACGCCATGCAATGAGAGAGGCTTCCAGTCCCCATGTGCCTCTGTGGTGCCGCAAAGGGCACAGAACAACAATGACAAAGATGGCATCCACAGCGCTAGAGCTAGTCTGGGGCTGAGTTCCCACCAGTCATCATGTAAGGCACCACATACCATATGATCACCATCCTAGAAATCTAGGAACATCCTCACTGCATGATTGAAATCCCTCCCAACCTCTGTGGGCAGCAGCTTTTTTCATTCCATTTTATGGTGAAGCCTGCAGCTGTGTCACCTCGTGCCATGGTCACAGCCCACAGAAGGCAGTAAGTCTGAGGCTGGGAGGTTTGAGACCTGCCCAGCTTTGCCTCTTGCGTAGGATGGAGTGGCCTGGTTCATGAGCCTGAGTTTAACCCCACCATAAAATCTCCAAACTGGGCATGGTAGCCTGTAATCCCAGCATTCTGGGAGACTGAGGCAGGAGGAACACAATTTCCAGCCCAGCCAGGGCAATATGGGGATCTAGCAAAACCCTATTTCAAAATAAAAAATAGAAAGAAATAGGTGTGGATGTAGCTCAGTGTGAAAGGCTTGAGTTCAGTCCTTGATATTGCAAGAAAAAAACTCACCACCTCCAGCTGGAACAGGGTGTAGGCTGGTTCTCTCCACACCCAGAGCTCCCACTCTGGCAAGCTTGTTTAACAAGTGTTGTGTTAATGGTATAACCCGGGGGGCGGCTCTTGATTTGCAGGGAATGGCTTTTGTGGAGATTTTGAAAATTATCTGATGTCCTTGAATTAGTGAAACAGGAAGTAGACACCTTCAGGAAGGTTGCATTCTACTGAGGAGAGGGGGCTGGGCGACCAGAGAGTGCTGGGCCCGGGCTTGAGGGAGCCTGTGGAGAGGGCACTGAGGGCCTTCTTAGGCCACCAAGGTACATGTGGATCACTGAGTGGATCAGGTCACTCCAGGAGGGACCTAGATGACAGGACGGCAGGCCTGAGGACAACCTTCCAGTTCCACTAATGTACCACTCCTGCCTTGTGGACACCTGGTGGCTGTGCCTGTGTGATATTGTCCTTGAAGTTGTCCCTTCATGTGTTTGAAATTCAGGCCCCAAAGGTGGACTCTTCCAACATGTTTCCTTCCCCTCTCTCAGTGGTACCAGGTGGTCCCACCCCATGAGAGGACTGCACCCTGGCATTCACCACCTGTGACAACAGACCACCCAGCCAGGAGAGGCCTCTGACTTTCATCCCTGCCCCTTGGTGGCTCACAGGTCACTGAACCGAGAGCAGCCCGTATGGGAGGACTCTTCGCACTGAAAACCCAGCACACCTTCCACCAAAGTGCGTCTCACCTCTTATGTCTTCATCCAATCAGATCTTTGAAAACTCTTTGGATTGGTGGTGAAATCTGCATGATACAGAAAGTGACCCTTTCCATTCTGTTGAAGGGTGCAGCTCCTGGCCTCACTGGACAGCCACAGCCACCATCCACCTCTGTCTCTTAACCCACTGACCCCAGCTGCCAGTCACAGCAAGGTCATGAGCCTGTGTCCCTTGGGGACTGGCCTTGCCACGTCGTATGGCATCCCCACAGTCCACCATGTCATGTGGGTGGTGGGGTCCTTCCTTTTTAAGGCTGCACAAACACTCAGTGTCCATCAGGGGACCCTTGGGTGTGCCTGCCTTTTTGGTCCCCGAGAATCCTGCCAACATGACGTGGACACACAGACATCTCTTCCAGACTCGGCTTAAGCTGTTTAGGGCTTAAACTCAAAAGTGAAATTGCTGTGTCACACAGTAATTCTATTTTAAATGTATTTATTCCGCAGTCAGCATTACACAGTGACAGCATGCTTAGAAAACTAAACTGTCCACATCAAGCTGATCACTGTTCTTGGGGGCTGAAGCCTTGAGTACTGTGTTCACCTTCCTTTATTCTGTGACTCAGCAGAGGCTGCCTTGGGTTTATTTGAATGCAAAATAAGGTATTAAAGGTTGTCAGAGTGGCTGCTTTTTTTGTACTGGATACACATAGTTCATTAAGGGTACTTCTTCTTTCTTTCTTTTTGTACTGGGAGTTGAACCCTGGCCTTGGCACTGAGCTACACCTCCAATTCTTTTTTCAGATAGAGTCTTACTATATTGCTAAGCTACCCAGGTTAGGCTCAAACTTGAGGTCTTCCTGCCCCAGCCTCCCAGAGTGTAGGTGTAGAGTACTTTTTTTTTTTTTTTTTTTT